CCTGGACCCGGGTTTCGTGCTACTTGGCACTCGTCAGCAATTGTGATTACATCTCAGTCCTACAGGAGGTTAGTCGCGGCTCAGATAGCTCAGTGATAACGCCTCTGACTGTGAAGCTGCGTGACACGAAATCGAATCCGCCAGGGAGCACCAATCCCCTCAAGATTACAGGTACATCTTGCTAACGAGTGCCAAGTAGCGCGAAACCCGGGTCCAAGGTTTCCTGTTGACTACCTCCAACCACCATCTAAATCTCAGATTCCTGTTAGATGCTTTACCGGTTGTACAGACAAGGATTAAAGTTTATTCTATCAGACACCTTTGGAATTTGAACCGGTTGGATGCCATACTGAGTACTACTGGCAGCTGAGCGACGGTTATTCCTGTCAGTGTCGTTGCATTTCGTTATTGGAGCTCCGTATCGTGGACTACATATTAGTTTTGAGGTATTTTAATGAGCATAACATATCACACTGACTCCGTCTTCATTATTTTTTAAGATCGCTAGCTGGGTCCTTGGAACGATACTGAACTCTTTTCCAGTTGTTATATCGTTCTCAGCACAGTCGTGAGAATAGAGATTATCAGTAAACGCCGAGCGGTTTACGGAATTTCCTCAAGGTTAACAGCAAAAGATGCAGCATAAATAACAGATTGTGTGGGATCAGGAAGTAAAACGGCGTTGTTTTTTCCTTTCTATGCTACTCTTTTTTATGTTTTCACACAAGTATAATTTTGTCTGTTAAAGGAGCAGATCAGCCTTGTCCCATGGTTAGGATGATGCAGACAAGGGAGTCAATGTATGATACATCTTCCGCTTGTTCCCATTTAATTTAACCATACACATTTTTCTAGTTGACTCAATAACTGTGTAAGACTACGAATAGGGCACGAAAAATAAACCCACTTATTAAGTAAAGTATAATCCTATATAATTTTACAGCACTCAGAATACATTTCGGTGATTTTCATGGCAAATGAAATTAATTCTTCTACTGTTATTGAAACTCAATAATTTATTTAAAAGGCTGCAAAAGACAATTTGCAGATCTCCCAAAATGTTGCACTATTTCGCACAATTACTCAGCTATTTTAGAAATCGCTAAAATGATATTATCTCTTGTTTTGTAACAATGCTTCCGCTTGGGACTGTTTTCCAGTCTTTTACTCCTTCTTGAAGTAGCTAGACTGTTCTTACTCAAAAATCGTCAAATTTGACTTCTTTGGACTCAAAACCGCTATTTTATTTGCCTTTTGTGTATTTGTAGCTTACTGACTATCCCAAATAGCCTGAAATAAAAATCAAGAGCTGGAAAATCAGCTGGTTTAAAAATGGTTTAAAATGGTTGTGGACGGAATAGAAGAAACTTTCGCTTAATAAGCTTCCGTATCTAGTAGAAGGGGATCACGAATAACTCCAGGCAGGAACCTAGGTATGTTAACGATAAAAGAGGAAAAAGAAATTGGTAAATCATTGTATGATATTATCCTTAGACCATAAGAATAAATCAGGTTACCTCTTAAAGGACTCCTGGGAAGTCGCTTGAACTAGTGAATTCCAGCATTTGACAACTCTGAAGGAGTAGAAGTTGTGTCAATAGTCCGTTCTGCTATGTTGTGTCTCCAATTTCTGGGTGTTACCCCTTAGGTTGTTATTGGGACTAAGCTTTAGTAGGTGTTTGAGAGGATGTCCAGAAGTTTTAAGAATACTGTAGGCCATCAGAAGGTCATCTCTAAGACGTCTATACTCTAATGGGTAAAGGTTAAGTGAATGGAGGCGCTCTTCATAAGGTTTGAATTTGAGTCCCTGAACTGACTTCATGGCTCGCCGTTGGATACGCTCCAGGGTGTCCTTATCCTTTTGGAGTGAGGGAGCAAATACTATGTTTCCGTACTCTAAATGGAGACGGATGTAACTGTTTAAGGTTATATGGAAAGTTCTTCCGTCAAACTGGCCAAAAATGCGCTTCAATGTTACTAGTGCAAGGTTTGCTCGAAAGGCATTTTGTCACGGTTAGCCTGAGACTTTAAACCGTGTGGCACCAGGAGTTATAAATCTTCTTCGACTCGGGATACTACTAGGGAGGAGCTTTCTAAGCTGTAACTATAGTCTACGATATGTCGCAGATGGACTACTTTACACTTCGAAGTGTTAAAGGTAAGCCCGTTATCGTCTGCCCAACTTTGAAGTCGGGTTAGATCCTCCTGAAGTGCCAGTCTATCCTCGCCGTTGCGTATCTCCCTCCAAAGTTTCACGTCACCGGCAAAGATTAATAAGTCTGACGTTACCTGTTGAGGGAGATCATTTATATAAATCAAGAAGAGGAGAGGTGCTAGTACTGTCCCATGGGGGACTCCAATAGGACATTCCATGGCCTATGATAAAATGAAGTTAACTCTGATTTTAGAATGTCCATTTTTCAGATATGAAGTGAGCCAATCAATTAGAGGTTGTCTGATACCCAGTCGGTTGAGCTTATTGATAAGGCATAAATGGTTAACCCTATCAAAAGCTTTTGAGAAATCAAGGTGAAGGATATCGACCTTCTCCTTGCAGTCAAGGATGGTTGTCCATCTATCCACCGCAGTCAGCAGGTTGGTAATACAAGAGTAACCCTACCTGAAACCATGCTGTTGGGGTGAGAAGATAGTTAAGGATAGTTAATAGTCATATATACCATCGCATATCAGGGACTTCATGATTTTTGAAGGTATTGAGAGAACCACTGGTCTGTAACTTGAAGGTTCGCTGCGTCGGCCTCCTTTGAAAATTGGTGTGATGTGATCCAGCTTCCAAATTTCCGGTAGTTTGCCTGGACTTAGCGAGTGTAAGAACATCACTTTAAGCGGTGTTGCAAGATTGAAGCTGCTTTCCTCAGTATAGCAGAATGAACAATATCTTCGCCAGGAGGAGTGTCTTTTCTTAGGTGCTGCAGTTTTCGGAACACCAAGTCAGCGCTCGGGTTCACTATGGAAAGTCCTGTGCAGTTGCAGATGAAGCTTTCGTCAGTATGGTTGATGTGGGTCCGTTGAAATCTATTGTTCAGCCAAAGGGTTAGCGGCATCGCTGTCGTTATTGGTTAGGAAATTAGGACCTAGCAGTTAAGAAACTCCAGTTATGGTTTTTCGAAGAGAGGCAGCATGACGGAATAAGCTTTTCGAATTAGAGACGAATTTATCCATACTCTTTGTCTGGTACTGAAGCCTGTCTTCTCTTATAGCCTTCGTGTATATGTTCCTCATATGTTTGTATTGCCTGTATGCGGCGTTGTAATCAGATCGTTCATATTATGCCCAATAGTGCCTTTCGAGGCTTAGCAGACGAAGAGTGCGGTTCTTGATCACTGTAGGTTGTTTGTAGCTTTTGGGGACCGTTTGAGGATCTGACTGCTTTGTAGCACTTAAGAGCGTGTACAGTATGAAGTCCCAATGAGCAACCACATCAAGTTTAGGGTGAACATCCCAGTCCACCTGTTTAAGATGGTCCTGTAAAGCTGACAGATTTGACAGTTTGAAATTCCAGCGCATGTTGTTGGTGGGATATCTTAGCTCATTTTGCTCAGAATACGATATGTCGGGCAGTATTCTTACGTTCCCATCGGATTTCAGTAAATGACTAACTAGCAGGACATCCTCTAGGTCGGCAGCATTCCTAGGTGTTACACGAAGTAGCCTCGGGTGATATTGATGCTTAGATTCCTTTACCCGAGTGAGCCGTGTGACCGTCAAAGGCTCTATTCTAGGAAGTTCAAGTTTCTTGTTCAATTCACCCCAGAGCATCCTATCATTTTTGTCCTGCAAACTGAGAGGAATTTCAGGTTCATAAATATAAGAGAGTCATCGCGAACCATCATTGTTTTCCCAGGTTTTCCGGTGCGTTTCGGTTCAGCACCTTGTTGTTTGGAGGTCGAAGCACGTTTCTGAATCCTAGGCTCTTTGATGGCCGGATGGGCGTTCTTTGGGGTAGACTGTGCGACCAAATCACCAGTTGGTTTCCGTACAACACTTGTGATATTCAGCTTAGACTGTGGCGACTGGTTCTTTTTAGCTCTATTGACGTGGGTCCAATCACCCACAGGGTTTCTGAAAACCACTTTTGCATTCAAGGACCCTGAGCTGGGAGATACGAGTTTACTGAGGGAGTCTATTACCGTCGACGTAATGATGGTGTCGAGTTCAGCATGTCATCATTAGTGCCAGTGCATGCTCCATCGATTTTAAACTTGTCAACATCCCTATTCTTGTTACCGTTGCGCCCCCTTGTTTGTCTACTTGTTTTATGACTGTCTTTTTCCAAGTTTGCTGACAACTTACTCTGCAGACCTGTGAATAGGACAATGATGTTACTTAGCAAGACTACAGCATCCATGCTGCACGTAACACATTCCCACTTATGATCCGACTTGCTGAGTCTGTTGTAAGCAGTTGTTGTGAAATCTGTGCACGATTCGTGGAACCAAACTTTGCAGTTGTCGTACTGCATGTCAGATGTAACAGCGAAACGGCATCCAGGTCATTTGCATGAATTGTGCGTCACTATATTGGCGTAAACTGTGTTATAAATAAAAGATCACAAAAAAACACTGAAAAGCACACTAAAAACGAGCAGAAATGGATAAAAACGGATGAGATAAACTGAACTAACTTTACATGAAAAACTAAAAAAAACGAACAGTAAACTGGGGAAAACCATCATTAACTAATAAATTGAGTGAAACTCGAAAAAAGTTATCTACCAAACGTACAGCTCAGAATAGATTCTTTTGATCAGAAATGGTACTTTTGTTGCCTAAGAACACAGCAAAAGTTGGATAAATACAAATCACGTTAGGACTAAACTTTCTGTTCGAAAAGTATGCTCATTGCATAGAAATTGAAGGAATAACGGAATATTACAAATCTTATTAGCTGAGTTTGTGTCTCGCGTGAAAAATCGATTTAGACTCATTATTCACTGGATTTTGTTTTACCAAATCAATAGTCATAAAACTGAAAGTATTATTCAAATTTAACCGGTTAAAAAGTGCAATTGGTTTTCGTACTCACTAAATCACTAAAGTAATTGTTGGAAGTTGTGAACACATGTTTCTTGAAAGTAATAATACAAATGTAGGAAATGCGCTTTCGTCCCAGCTTTATTTTTAATATTTATCATGCATTTCTCTAGTTATGAAAATTACATACGTCATTATACTTATGCGAAGTAGTATTTTTTTTTCTTTACTGATCTTAAACTCACTGAACACTTGAAGTTGGAAGGACATTCTTTTTTTATGTATGCTTCATTTTTGAAAGGAATGAGTTCAAAATGTCGTAGTGTTCTACACCTGTAAATTTTTTATTCACATGTCTTAATGAATCTCAAGTCACTTTCGAATTACTCTTCCGTAACATATAGTTAGGGACACTTCCCAGGTTTTTAGAACTTAGGTTTTTTTCGGAGCACTTTAGTTGGACTTTGAATTGTTCTACTTAACAGCCCCTTCAAGGTTAACATACATAATTCTCCTATATCATGCTCTAGTAAATCCTATTCTCAGTCTTTTCATATGAACAAATGTGGAATACTGGCATAAAACACCGTTCAACGACATCAATTGTTGATGCGTGGTGTGAAGAGGGGTCTATGATTCCTGGACCGTCTATAAATGCCCATGCTGATTTTGAATAATATTTGTTTTTGTACAGTCTTCAGTTCGTTATACTTTATTTAAAGACTTTGTGCTTCCGAGAACTAAATAGCCGGTGACTAGTCGTTGAACTAGTCATATTTCGTGCTTAACCGTAATTAATGTGTATCATCTCTAATCGTATATCACTTTATGTGTTCGAGAACAATACAGAACCGCAGGTTAGTGATCATGATATATGAATGCAAAAATGCCAAACTTCATATATAGGATACCAACAAACAAAACGTTTCTACTGACGCACCATGAAGATGCTATCAGACCCTTAACACCCGAGGGTGTACAGGTCTTGATGGCATCTGGTGTCTGTTTAAAAAATATGTAGTTTTAGACCTTTAAACTAAATTACTTCGCTGTATTACGTTGTAGCTGTGTTATACCTTAACTTCGTTTAAATGTGTGAAATCCCTTATTCTAGTTTTTTGGCTTAGGCTCATAAAATCTTTAAATATATTTTCGCTACAAATATGTCAGTTAAATGCCAAAAGTGTCTGTTACACAAAATACCTATGACAGAGTTTGTCTGACCGCAAGTTACAGAATATATTTCATTCATATGTGATCTTATGTGATGCCATTCAATATTTGGACAGTATGTATGCCATTACCTTCGTAAGAAGTCCCGTTATACATTCGAAGTCTTCGTGTTACAGAGAATTCTGTTTTATGCGACACTAATATCAGTTAAACCAACGGGTCTTTTCTCAAGACGTAATGGGAGGTTATTTAGTATGACATCCTTTTTCCAGACACTCGATGTGCGTACACTGACTCAAAAGGATCGGATTAAATATTTCTTTTTCAAAATTAAGATCTTTGAATTTTACTGCCATGCAAAATTTGTTACGGAAAATTTTATTGGTTATTAATTTCATATGTCTGATCCATAATTTCTGATTCCACTAATATTTAAAATAAAGATATTAGATGAAATTATTTTATAAACAGATTTACGTACGTTTTGAGTAAAGCATTTCTTGGTGGGTTGTTTTACATATTATTTTGATTGTTTTACATGCAACATCTTTACGAAAAGCAACATTGTTACTATTCTTGCACTGATAATCATCGTTAATACAATTTATATATGATACAACTAATTGTATACACTCTCACTGTTGATCATAGCTGTTATGTAGTATTTAAACATTTTCGAGTACCATTTGTCAGACATTAAATGTTTAGTACTAATTTCGTAGAAAAAATATTAGCCAGTTTATTTTCCTTGAAAAATAATTTGATTAGGAGTCGTATATAGAAATGCGAGTTGAATAGTCCAATAAAGCAAAATTTTGTTGCAAGAACTTTTTCTCCGTGGTTCAAACATACTATTGAGTCTAAAATCATCGTCTGGAACATGTTTTCAAATAACCGAATTCTTAGTTTTGGTTAAAAAACTGCAAAGACTTGTATGAAAATAATCTGCCAAAACGTGTTTAAAAGTGGCAAATAATTACTTGATAGCTCTGTATTTTTTATTTATCTAAAACAGGAGCTTCAACAGTTTTCTCGAGTACTTCAAATAATTATTATCCCTTAAAAAATTTATAGTCTGAAAACTAATATTTTCAACCAAAGATATAAAGTCAGTTGTTGCTATAAGTCACAAATAGATTAAAAGCCACAATTTATTTAAAACATTGAAGTTTATATCAGTGAAAGGTGAAAACTTAGAACTAGTAGCTTCTTGACACAGAATAATTTAATATTAAATGAAGATTTATGCCATATATTTTCCTTTATGAGACTGTTCAAGCAATTTAGTTCTCAGATATAGAACATTGCACATAGAAGTCAATAAATGATTTTTAATACTAGATGTTTATAACTGTGGTATTCGGTTTCATAAAGTACAAGTTCTCAGGTGCACAAATTTCTTCGTCGACTGATCAAATGTGAAATTTCGTAACAATATTTTTAAAATACGTTCAGAGTTGGATAGAATTGGAAATCAAACAGTCTACTGGTATGGAATCTGATGATAGCTGCGAAATAGCCTCGGTAATTACAAGAGCAGATACCAAGTCTGATTTATCTGATAATCAGACCATTGATTGGAGTAATCGTCAAAATCTGAGAAAAGAAAACTATTCAAGTTGTGATGATTGCCTATCAAATGTAGAAGTATTATCAGATAGTTGTTTGAACAAACAATTTCACACTTTTTCACTAAAGCTAAGAGGTGAGTTACTCTGTTCGGATTTCAATCGTTTTACCTAGAGCAAGGAAAGAAGATTAAACTCCTGGAACAAGAACGAATCGGCTTTTTGGAACAAATAGCCAATCTCTGTTCATCTTTAGAAAAAAAACAACAAGAGTTGGTTGATGTTTTGAAACTTTCGGAAGAAAAAGCAAAATACCACGCTCATTACATGACTGAGGTTTGTTTGTAATTCCCTATCGATTTTTGTCATGTTTGCATTGTTGTCGCATATAGTGTGTGTAAGTAGATTAACTGTCTACACAGGCGTAGTTGTTTTATAATTATCTGATTGTTCCACCATGGATACTCACAGTGCTTGATCACGATAAGATCACTCATTAATTCATTGTATTACAATGGTATCCATATTTTTAATTGGTCTCTATTCTTAGCCAAATTTGCATATGACACAGGTGAATCATCACCTGTTTCCATTTAAAATTTCAGGAAGCATGCGCATGGGTCCATTTAAAATGAGATGAAAAACTGAGTTTTAAGTTAAGCAAATTTTGGATTTTAGGTCATTAGGCACTACCATTTATTTCACTTTATGACGCGTTATACCACCCCATGAGGTATATAATCTGAGTATGGATACAAAATTGTTACCGAGAAGTTGACTATACACAGAGAAAAGCCTAAATATAAGTCAGTTAATGGATAAGGTGCATACCAAAATCATTGTTTTTAAGATGATCTAATAATGTATGACGTGCCGAGTTTTTTCGTCACTGTAAGGTAAGAGGTTAGAAGGGCGCTGGTAAACTGAGCAAACTAAGTTTCGATTTTAGTTTCTAGAACGTATCCTGTTATTATATATCAGCACATGGAAAGATTATATGCTTCAGTTAAAAATTAATTCATAGGTTAACTTATGAACTTAAATTATAATTGAGTTCTTATCAACTCTTATTCTGTGATTTCTTTTGCACTCTTGGAATAAAATAAAAAACAGGTTAGTAGTCTACTAGCCGAACTGAAAACACTATTTTCAGAGCATTCAAACTGTTTTAATTCAGGAAATCAGGCTTTAATAGATCAGGGTGAATTTGGGAATAAGAATGAAGTTTCAAATAGTACCAATACTGAAAACGTACAATTGAGTTCCACTATTGGTTCAGTGAAAGGCGCTTGCTGTTCAGAATCTCAGCAAGATCATCGTGGCCGCGCTCTAATTAATGAACTATCTGCTACAGTAAGTGCTGTCAAAAATATGAACAGCAAAAAATTGATAAAACACGACCCTTCTCCACAAACCCCACATATATTTGGTAAGCATTCTTTTATAATTTCTTATAAATCTCGTTGTTATTTTTCTTTTATGTATTGTAAGAGTTGGTAAACTAAAATGTAATTAATTCGAACTATTGAAAGTGACTTTTAGTGTATAATTTACACTTTGTGGATAAACGAAGTGTAAACTATTTGAATATTCAAAAAGCATTCTTAAAGAAGATGTGAATTAAAGAAAAGGGACATAACTAAATCTTTACATAATGGCCAACAGTGACAATAGAATAAAGAGCTACTGTGTCCTTTCTACTGAAGTTAAATTTGGGCTATGTTATCAAGAACATCTGTTAATTGAATTCCATACACCACATGCTCCTCCAAAAAGTCCTTAATTGCCTTCGTGACCATAACCAACCGGTACAGCATCTTGAACTGATCACTTTTTAACATTCTACTATATCTGAGTAAAAAGAACAGTCTGACCTTTTATAAAGGTTGAAATCGGGTATAGAGTGAAAAAACTTCGAATTTATTTTCATGATCTGTCATTATATCTATAACCATTAGAATTTACTCATGACACACGTCGAACATCTTAACCAATGTTGATTAAAAATAGTTATGTATTTTCATATACACTGATGGGTTGGTGATAACAATGTAAAGTAAATATTGTAGTTACGTAAGGTGCAATAATTCTGCATATGAAAGTCTAGGATACAAAATATAGTGGAACAGAGTCTAAGATAGTTTCACATTCTTTGATGTCTCCATCAAAACGTTGTAGTGTTAAGAGATGATTATAGCATCACGGCATGTCTTTTGTACCAAGATTTCTCTTTGACATCCATGCAAAATAAAGAGTACCGTGGGAAACTGTGACTTTTTAAAGAAATAGATTTTAGAAGCTGATGATATCTCAAGTAGAGGCTTGCAAGTGAAATAATGTAAGCTAAAAGTAGGTAAACTGTAAAATCTCTTAAAGCAACAGCTTTGACAAATTTTCTATTATCTCTCAAAATTACTTATAACGTAAACAGATCTTATTATAAAACTAAAATAAACAGTTTAACTGAATTTGTTTGTTTTGTTGATCTCCTGTTAATTTCTAATCTACATATATTTGCAATTCTTGACTCTAAGTTGGGATGTCTCCATTGATTAGTGGTCATTAATTCGGTGTGTGTCTTACTCTTCGTAGAAACGTTTCCCATAAGCAATGTCTTCACTGCACAGTTTGCTTACTCGAAAAATATGCAAACTGCCTAATTAGTTGGTGCAATATATTATTTCAAAGAATGTTTAAGTTGAAATAATTAATTTGCTCTTTAGACTATTATTCCTGCATTGTATATATATATATTTGGAGAGAGAGAAGGAAATCTATGACTGAATTACATTACTTTCAGGGTAGTATACGTTTGAGTGTTGTCTTCTAAACAAAGACTAGTGAGAAATCCGAAATTAACTATCACCTCACTATAAAATCAATTGTAGTTCGGAGTTTAGTTGGAGTCTCATTTTCCATCATTTTTCAGTTTTCCTTGTTTTAATTGATGATAGTTTGAGTTGTCTGGTAGATTCAAGTGAAGGAAACTTGAATATAGTGTTCAGCGAAACTGAAAAATCTTAAGAAATGGGTGGCTGATTTTTTGTTCAAATTAATGTATATTTTAATGCCTCTACTATAGCATTTCAGAATTTGTGAACTGTTTAAAATCAACTGTGTAGCCCTTCCTAGGTGTAGAAATTGCTGTGTTAACAAAGGTTACTTTATGCAGTCAACTGGTTCAACACATAGTTCTATTTAAATCATTTGTAAAGGTTTTTAACTTAACTATCATAAAACCACAATTCTGTGGTTTCAAGAAGATATTCTCATAATTTTAAGATATTTTCCTTCACTTCTTACGGTTTCTCTTTGTAAAGAGACTTTTTTCTCAATATTGAGTTTCATTCGAAGAATTATGAACCTGTTTAAATAATAATATTCCTAGTGAATGTACACCTTTACGTTCTACATTTACTTTACTTAAGCCTATTGTATTTACAATTTAACATCAATCTTAGTTTTTCCCGTCAGTAATTAATCTATATACAATATCGTTTTTCGTATTCACTCCTAACATAAAATATAAATGAATAACATTTAGCGTCAGTAACTTGGTCGTTTGACCTTCAAAAATACTTATAATAGGGTTAAAAATCTTTGTATTACTCTGTTTTTCATTTTCTTTAGTATCTTTGTTTATATAGACAATATTACAAACTTTATGAGATTCGCGCACGAGACCGAAGGATCTTGGTATTGAGTCCCGCGTGTGTAGTCGTGGTTGAGCACTATTGAGGGGTCACATACTAAAACGAAACGGCCGTTTAGCGCTTTCAGTTTTCAATGGTGGTCTAACATTGATCCACTCATGATATCAATCTAAACTCAACAATCTTCACAACATTATACTTGTAATTCTAAAGCTACCAGCCGGACCTTTTCCTAAATTATTTTTATTGATAAAATTTAGTTTTACCTAGGCTAGATGTTGTAGTTAAACCAGTTTCTTTGCAATTGCTTCTTATAAGCGTATACAAATTCTGATTAAGCAAAGATTTTTTTAAAATTCAGGGTTTGTGGGATTCATCATGTAGTTGATATTTTTAAGATATAAGTAAATATATACTGTATACATATATACATTTGTGGCTTGAAATATTGTTTTTAGGAGTAGGTAGCCATGTAGCGGTTTGCGTCTAGCCAGAAGGTACTTTGTGTACTAGGGGAGGATGCAAAGTATTATGAGTGAGAAGGGCTGTGAAGGAGAATGAAAGAAAAAATAAATCGAAGGCCTAGATGGTGTACACAATACAATTACATTTACTATAGAAAGCAATAGATGACAGTGAGCAGTTACACAAGCCTCAGATTATGACAAAATTGGAATGGAAACTGGAAGCAGATAGTTTAACACACAACGGTCCTCGTAGTTTAAAAGTGGAGGATATTTTTCAAATGTTTATTCGTATGATGTGTCTAGTTAAGTTTTGTTTTAATTATTTAAATAATTTAAACAAATTAAATTACTGATTGATTGTTTCAGCTTTATATAGGTTTTTCTGCTTTACATCTAAAAAATTTAATTGGATTTATAATCACCAGGATATAGAGACGAAGAAATTATAAAACAATTTTGTGTGAACTTTTCCTGTGATACATAATGTGACAGTTTGTGAAAAAAATTATTCCTGACATGTTATCAAGCTCATTCAGATGGAATTTAGTAAAAGGTAGTGATTGATTGTGTTTAGTGAATATATACTGGTGTAATGATATGCCACAAGACAGAAACGCTTTGACTTATTTGTCAGTTTTATTGATTTCTTTTTCGAATGATTATTTATTATCATTTTGGGTTTGTTTATTAAGTTTTTATATTCTGAATACACTTAAGTGCTGACTGGAAACAGAATAAAGACATGAAATTTCTATCAGAATACGAATTTCTGTGATATATATGGCATTAAAGATTAATTAGGTTATCCAATTATTGGTTTTTAAACTTGGATGTGTTATGATACTGGTATCAGACCATTCTTACCTTTGTCTCATCGATCACATAGACTTAGTGGTAGTCATTCTTATTTCCAACAACTTTTTATGAAAATAAATTATATTTTTTGAAATCGGAATCGACTGGAGAAGGAAATTAGTTTCCTTTATGTCAATAAATTGTGTATTAGGCAAATATAGATTTTGTGTGATGAAATGCAGGTAGTAATTTGTCACTCCTCAGATTCACCTTGATTTTTATTACCTCAGCATCTGATTTTGTTCACTGTTAGTTACTAAATGCTTTTACACAAATAACTTTGTGTATACCATTAAACTGATTAATTTGTAACAAAAAGAATAGTGAATTACAGAAAATGCTTCATTATATCTCTAAACCAAAGTGAATTAACCATTGATCTTGTAAATTATTTCACAGCATTTGTTCGAGTGAACCTCTACAGTCTTTTGAAAGCTGCATATATATATGTTCAGAATATTCATAGTTCATGCAACATATGTAGAGTAGCTTGTAGGGTGATAAGTCAAGTTTATTTACTCTATGCTGTCTTACTATGATTTCTTATTTAATTTTTGCGTTTCAAAGGCAGTTTATTTTTAGTGAATGGTAATATTTTTGTATAAATATATTTTGAAATGTTTGAAAATCACCATCACATTGAAACACATATATAAGCAAAGAATATTCTTTTTATTAAATTTGATGAATACTTGTTCAATCGGACAAAAATCTATTATTAACTACATTCGTCCTTCATATTTCTTTCATTCTAAAGTTTTTACTCTCGGTTTTTATTACAACTATATCACTTTACTTCCCTCGAGATTATTCTCATCATATTTTATTGTGCGCTTAATATAATGAACAACTATTATAGAATCATACGTTCTCTTAAGTTCTATCAATTAACTTTCACTATTTTTATTTTGATTAAATAATTGTGGATAACACATTATTATTTCAAAAAATTTCTCATTTCTGTATATATTTTTTTCTGCATTTAATATTTCCTATAGGTTCTGTAACTTATGTTAAATTTGTTTTTCCAAAACAAACTGTTGTCACTCTAGTATATTTTGTTTAAGTCTTTAAGTAAAGAAATTCAACCTCATATGGTTGACAGCTTCTCATATGAAAATGTTTCCGTATTAGATACGTGATGTCATCATAGTCACAGCATAGACATTATTCTTTCATGAATTATATATATATATATATATATATATATATATATATATATATATATATATATATATATATATATATATATAGTGTAAAGTTGCCCGTAGTTGTCTTTTTCGTGAAACATTTACATACTGAATTAATTGAAGTAAACATTTCATATAAAACTGAAAAACTTAATCAATTTTTACTCTAGTTCAGTATTTAAATTTTAAATAATGTTTTTATTTTTTTGTTGTTGTTCAGATGACAAAAGTTGGTAACTAGGAAACTATTATTTTGGGAAATATTCATCAAACTTAATTAAGTGATAATACAGTTTAACTGATTATTGTGTCTTGTATTATGATTATTTCAATAGTGACATATTTTTTTTATGGAATTAGCAAACCACTTATTGGAAGTTTGTTTTGCTGGTAACAGCATAAAATTTAAAGATTCGTTTTTTTTTCTTTCAAAAAGAGCAATAAAGAAACATCTAAAGTGATGTCTTGCTGAAAAATTCGATGGCTTTTCTTGAATTATTTAATATTTAATATCAGAAGGGGTTTTTGTGAATATTATAATAATTTCATTAGTTGAGATCATGAGCCGTCCAGTGTTTCCAGGTTTTCCATGATGGTCTAGCTTCATTCGACTCATGATCTCAACTATTGAAATTAATTTATATTTGTTTGATAAATATCAAATTGTAAATATTCTTTTATTAGGAATATTTTCTTGCACTAAAAAGTAGATAAGTATTCATATTTTCTGAATTGAAATAAATCATTGTTAAAAATTGAAATGAAATGGCCTACAATAAAATTCACACCCACAATGTTACTACTTCTTGAATAAAAGAATCTAAATCTACGATAATATGCTGATCATTGATGTCAGTTAATGTTTTTTTAACTGTTTGAAAATTATGAGATTTTTCATAATGAATACTATTTTCAAGTTGTGTATATTTTCATAAACTAGAAGCAGAATAGAAACTTAATAGTTAGAAACGTTGATTGATATAACTTTATTGCAGTGACATAAATGCATTCACTTTTGTCTTTTAAATCCTGGGTTCCCAAATTATTTTATACTTTTTTTTTGTCCCTCAAATCCATTTTTTCTTTTCGAATCATATTGCTTTTGCACAACATTTTTTGCTACTACGGTTCGTGTTACTACTCTTACTACTTTGAGCTTTGTTCTAACGATTTCATCTCTCTGTTCTTATTTGGCCTATCATCTTGAACTGATGCACATATATCTTAGATTCTACGTCACTTATTATTGAATGACTGATCTACCAAATACCATCTGTTTTAAATAGAATCGTGTGTTCACTAGTAATCAACTTTGGGATGGATTTCCTCGAGTTTTATTCGAGGCTATGATCTATATGGAGGGTAAGATAATTAGTAATAATAGTGGTAGCCAGGCTACAATGTTGACTGAATTAAGAAAGAGGGTCATGACTATTATATTTTATCTCATTAGTCTAGAACTATTGTGTTAGCCATGACGGTTGTAATTTTTGTTCTAATATGAAATTTTTTTATAAATGAAACATTTTCATCTGTTGGTTGGGGAATTATTTTTACACATAATTCAATGGATTGATAATATGTTGTATGAATTCTTGTCTGCTTCTTTATTTAAGAATAGTCATTTGTTCAGTTAATGTTTTGAATAGTTTGAATCGACAGATTCATTTGGGTTTCTAATTAGAGTGGCGTATTTCAGCCTGAATGAAAACGTATGTGTACTTTAAATTTTAAATAGGTATTTGTTAATCAAACTAGGCAGAAGCAGCCAACTCATTGGTTCATATCTAAACCTTTTCAACTGATTAAGTGAATCTCTTTTGGAGTTTATATTTTCTTGAAAAGTTCTTTCTTTAAACCTGTCAGTTACGAATTGAACATTTATCAACTATATCATGTTACAGATGATAATTATTGTAGAATACTCATCATCAACTTTACTACTACTTTTCTTCGCCAATATGATATTTTTATTATAATTGTCTACATTTTTTTCGAGCTGGATTTTTGTGCGTTTTTATACATTTACTGAATGGTTATATAAGAAATTAAAAACAAACATTTAAATAAATGCACACGGCTGATGTGTTTAAAGTGGTAAAATCTTAGCCTACTATATTTAGAATAATCACTATAGGGTCCAAATCATCATGTGATAACCATAAAGGGATTAATTTGACTAACATAGCATATAAAATTCTAGCATCAATAATTATCAGACGCCTAACTAAGACTAGTGAACTGCAAACACGAGGAAATCAGGCTGGCTTCAAACCTGGTCGCTGCTGTATCGATCGCATATTCACTATTCGTCAGGTCCTAGAACACTGACATGATTATCGGCGTCCGACATTGATGTTCTTTTTCGACTTAAAAGCAGCATTTGACTCCGTAGACCGCGAGATACTGTGACAGTGTCTGTCATTGAAAGGCGTACCTCATATGTACATAAACCTTCTGAAGGCTCTTGACTCGAACACTACTAGTCGAGTCAGAGTTTATGGCGAACTGTCATTTGATTTCGCAACCTCAAGTGGTGTCCGTCAAGGCTGTCCACTTTCTCCATTTTTGTTTAACTTCATCATAGATCTACTGATGGAAATAACTTTCTCGTCGACTGAGTTCTCGGGTATTGATCTCCTTCCAGGAGGTCCACTTATCGACTTGGAATACGCAGATGATATAGTCCTGTTTGGTGAAGACGCTAACAAAATGCAGTCTTTTGGTAGCACTAAGCAACAATGCCAGAATGTTTGGAATGTGCTTCTCTCCCTCTAAATGCAAGTTGTTGCTTCAGGACTGGTCTGCGTCAACACCTGAACTAAGGATAGGGAGTGAAGTAGTCGAACGCGTTGACAACTTCAATTATCTTGGAAGTTTGATCAGCCCTAATGAGTTGGTGTCTGACGAAATCTCAGCACGGATTCGAAAGCTCGTTTGGCTTTTGCCAACTTACGTCACCTTTGGCGAAGGCGAGATATCCGTCTATCAATAAAAGGACGAGTATACTGCGCGGCAGTCCGTTCTGTTTTGCTTTACGGCAGCGAAACATGTCCACTAAGAGTAGGAGACACTCGTAAGCTACTAGTATTTGACCACAGATGCCTTAGAAATATTGCTGGCGTCTGCTGGGATCACCGGGTAAGTAATAGTGAGGTTAGACGTAGGGTATTAGGTAATGGAGGTTGTGAATCTTCGTCGACTGAGATGGTTGGGCTACGTGTTACGTATGCCTGAACACTGATTACCACGACGTCCAATGCTAACCGGTGTTGGAGATGGTTGGAAGAAAGTGAGGGGCGGCCAAACCAAAACATGGCATCAGTGTCTGAAATCACTAACTTCTAGTCTGAGTCATATTGGTAGATGCAGACTACTTGGTTGGGGTCCTCATGACTTTCGTAACCAATGGTTGGAGACTCTTGGTGACATGGCTCAGAATTGACCACAATGGCGTCGGTGTATGCACTCTTTGTCTTTCCTTAAACCGTAAGATTACTTCATACCT